CATAGTAACGCAGTTGATCTTTAATCTACTTTTAACAAAAACCATTAATCATTATTTGATATATTATGCAATAATTAGCAGAGAAACACGGGGAATTTTCTGTATTCTATCGCGCCTCATCGCCATTTACGTTTCCAGAGTCAACCTGGCTGCTACAATCGGCTTAGCAGAGAAAGTATAAAAGATAGGAATAAGGGAGAAGAAATATCCGAGTTAAAACATCTGAACAAAGCTGATAATGGAGTCGGTACAACTCTATGTACAGATGAATGTAAAAAGATTGCCGAAAGCAGTAAATGTGAAGAAGCTGGCAATGCTAAAGTACCAATAACACATGGGTATCGATGCGATTTCGGTGTAAATCTGTATATTTCAATATAAATATGTCTGGGTTGAGTATGCAAGTTAAATCCGTGCACTTACACTTGCAAAATGTGTGTAGTTCAACTTATTCAAGCCAGTGTTATGCCTTCTAGTAAAAATATATGCAAATCCACATTGCTAAATCTGTATATTTCAACAGAAATAAGACTGGGTGAAGTCTACAGTCATAGTTCTATACGTATTTACATCGATACAACGAAGTGTCAAAGGTAAATACCGGGGCCAATAGACGTTCTCTGTAAAAATCGGTATTGCTGCTGCGTATCCGCTGATTCAAATGCAAGCTCTGAGAATGGAAAATTAATACATTAAAATATCCCCTGTTATAATTCACTAATATTTTATGAAAATTAAAATATATCCCATCATAATTCACTAGCAAATTCCATTCTCCCACCCATAAAACATAAGGAATTCAGTTCAGCCGTTCTTAATTTTCTTTGGTTTGTACGGGCCGGTACTTCAGATGGTTTGGTTCGGCCTATAAACGGCCGCAAAAAACCGCTTTACAACTTCACCCTCTTTGGCGGCCCTACTTCGGCCGATCAGTTTTGGTTCGGCTTTCAACGGCCTCTCTATTACTTTATTTTTTAAAACTAGCAATGCTTCTAGTGCAGTGGCGATTGTTTGTCCATGTAACATTTAAAGATTGTAGAAATTAACACATGAAAAGCGGGCCATATTAGAGTACCAATTTCACAGGTGCATGTTTTGACGTGAATAAAGGCTGTCGAAAGTAATAAATGTAAAAAAAAAAATCGGGACTGTTAACCCCTTTGTATGTTGATGTTAATGTATAAAGATTGTCGAAACTAAAACATAAGACGATAATACTGATAATATTAATAATATAAAATATTAATAATATTGAGGTATCTATGATAATATTGAGGTATCTATGCGTGTATTTGTTAATGTATACCAATTGCAGTAACTAAATACATGTAAGTTGAAGCTAACGGTGCAAAAAGCATTAAATCCGTTGAAAGTTGCTGAACCTCTTGTACGCGAAAAACCTAACATAGGGGATAAGTCCAATGTTTCCTGAACGGCTCAGAAAGCAGGGGTAAAAACTAACGCCAAAATCACTTGCAGCCTGACTGTTAAGTTCAATGAAAGAGCTTTGGTACCAGGACAACCGTGCGAAAGTATGCAGATGCGCTGTTAGCGCAAAGTTTCGCTATAACGAAAAAAAAAGCCCAAAAAAACTTATCATTCCTCTGCTACATGAGGTTTCTGGAATGAAAGAAAGGTCGTAAGACCACGAAATAAGGATATGAAACAGATAGTGAAG